AGTAAGTACAGTATAGAAGTCAATAATATAGATTATCTCATATTCTTATTTTAGGTCAGTCTCTTGCTGAATCAGTTGATGATCATGAGTCTCAGTCTACTCTTGTGGTTGATACAGCTACAGTTTTTACAGCTACAGTTGATGTACAGTCAATTGTTGCTCATTCTCCATCACCCTATTCTTCTACTTCCTCTACTAATACTACTACTAGTACTATTACCACTACAGAAGTCAGTGTTGGAGCTACACCACCCACTACTTTATTACAATAACCTTCGCTACCAAAAAATTGCGCTAAAAAGGGTGCGTAAAAAGGGTGTGGCCAAAATCGCGGCGCGCTTCGCGCGCCCAACCCATTTCCTGTGCCACACCCATGCCCGACTAGTAGTCAAATCCTGCAGCCGCCTATGTCTCAGTCTACATGTAATACAAACCATCCTCTTTCATCCCTATATCCCTTGAACATACAAGTACCCCTCCCCTTTCTTCTCTCCTTGGCCTCTCTCTCCCATTATCAAACTGAGTACTAATTGTCCTTTGGAATATTTCACTAGTCAAAGAAGAGAATAGACAAAAACGATCATTAATCTAAGAAAACATTGCACTATATTATCTAAATGGATCTACCTTCCTTATAAGGAAGCTGCTATAATTAGACTAACCAGGACACTGCTGTCTGTATTAAAACACCTACACCAAACAACATAAGATGAAACTGATCAGTGAACTGCTCTTCAAGACAGCATATCTAATTTGACTTCCTCCATTGAACCATTTAAAATTATTATTAAATAAACCAATCTAATGAAGCAAAAAAAAAAGATAAAATGGCCTGTTTAACTTCTTGAAAAGGAGGCATGGGAGGTGCATGCTAGGTGTTGGGTTCTGAAGGTTCTCTACTATAAAGTCACTGGGTATCATGTAAGGACTGACTGAATGTACAGAAGTACAGATTGATTGAATTTAACAGCATGTATGTACATTGTATGTGTATGTTACAATTATGCATAGATCTATTGGGGATTTGGTTTTACTAATTTTACTAATCACTATTAGTATACTGCGTTAAAACACAATTAACATGGATTTGAGGCAAATCAAAGTCACTGGAAACTATAAATATAAAATACATGTGCATGCTCACACAGACATATTTCAGAAAGTTAAAAGCATTTTAGACTAACAAGATTTATTTCTTATTCTCACTACTGAGACACACCTGTGCTGTGTACAGTAAAAGTGCAAACACGCTAAACCCATTCAAAAACACAAGCTACGACGTGTATGTGAGTATAGCTAATTGACAATTTCATGTGCTATTGACATTTCTCTCATTTTTTGGTCTTATAAAGTATAATCATATTAGTATTGTGTAGCTTCATAATTGGGCTCACATTACCTGTCCTTGATACACGTAGCAGTGAGGGGGAGGCTGAGTGGGCAAGTGGGCCCATCCTAAATTTATCAAAGGGTTGCTAACTATTATTAAAGTTAAATAATCTAATTTTAATGAGTGCGTGTTAAAGGGCGAGCCCCAGCATTAATGTTTTACAATTTCCATTCTTTTGTTCTGACAAGTGACAATAACCCAAACGACTGTAAGGTAGAGAATGGTCTGGCTAGTGAGACTATGTAGCCACTTTATTAATGACACCACTCTTTAAAAAAATTATCTTCAAAATGCCTAGAAAACAGTTCATAAAATGACTTCTATGCATATCAGTCATTCCAATTAAACATAAATATAGTCTAACTAATTCTGTAAATACTAAAAACAAGACAAAATTAGCAATAAAAATAAAAAATGAGGCTACATATATATTAATGCAGTTCTAAAGCTTTGTTTCCTCATCAGCAGGATTCTTTTTATCAGAAGATCCTTCAGACTTTCTTTCACTGCTTGTCTCTTCGAGAGACTGGGGCCCAGCAAAAGCAACTCCCTCAATCTTTCCAAGTTTCAAAGCCTCAACAAGAGCATCATGAATAAACATATATTCATTCTGCATCAAGAGAGAGGGCAAGAAGATAGAATAATTAAACCTCTTATAGATTTTTGCAACTACAAATCAATCTTTGTTCTTAAATAATTAGTTGCTCTCTATGCTTACTTCATTCATAACCATCATAGGACGACACTTCCTCATGTACTGCACATTATTGAAGATATCAACCAATTTCTCTGACTTGATGCGAGCCATCTCAACCATAATAGCAATGAATGTACCAGTACGACCAGTACCAGAACTGAGAAAAAAAA